CACCCCCCAAACTTTCCATTTAAGATTCCACTGGGATAGCAAAATACACAAATGTTGGAAGGTTCCAGATGGAAGTTGAAAAGTTACCACTATATTCTAATTTTTTTTGATCTTTCAACCTGACTCCTTTAGAAACTGAAACTGTGTAGAGAAGCTCTTTGTCCTTAATCTAAGAAGGCACAAGCATGAAACGAATGAGGTACTAGATTTTAAAACATTTATGCTTCTGTAAAATTATTTAATGGAAAACTAAATTCTAGCTCAAGATGCTATTATATTTTATATGCAATCAAAACCTTAATTTTTAGTATATATCTCTAGTAATCTTAAACAAGAGAAAATAATTTGAATAAAAATATAGTGATTTGCATTGTTTAATCATAAAAGAGAAGATTATATAGTCCACAAAATAATAAAAACCCCCCTCAGCTATAGAAGGTCACAATTTATATTTAGTGTTTTTTTTACTCTTCATTCTAAATTTTCACTCTTTAATGAGCATGTTTACTATTAAATCAAATCTGTATCTATTCTATTTTAGGATAATCTGAGCACAAATATCAAGTCTTACTCTCACCTACTTGCCCAAAGAGAACTGGAAAATATATAAAAGTATTTTTGTAGACACTACTGCTTTAAAAAAAATGAATGCTTCACATAGACATGTTAAAAATGTAAAATTTAGAATATCAGGATTTTATCAGGAGTAAGATTTAAGATCTGGAAGATACCTAACTGCCATATGACAAAACCTTCTCTCTCAAATTTCACAAAACCCTAGGTATAACCACAGAACATATAACACAAATTGATAGTGGGAGAAAAAAAATAATAAAACAAAACATATATTTTACTAGAAAGTGTTATGTGCAAAATATTTTGGAATATGCCTTATTTTATTAAAAAAAAAAAAAGCTTCCAGTGATGAGGGAATTAATCCAGACAACAAAGAGGTCAGTGGGAATGTCCCCACAGTCTGGAGTGAGGTTGAAATTGGGTGTTACAGAAGGGGGTGGTGCTCAGAGCAGCACCCTCTGTGTGTGAGTGTGAGTGTGTGATGGATGGGAGCGTGTGTGTATATATGGATACAGCACATCCATGTATAAACACACCTGGCCCTGCCTGGGGACAGCAAAGCAGCACAGGCTGGGGCTCTGCCTCTCAGCCAGGGCTGCTCCCTCCTGCCAGGGCTCTGCTCCCTGCGCTCCCAGACACGTTTTGCACAAACACCGCTGCCAACGTTCGTACGCGCCAAAAAAGGAACATTGCCCTCACTCCCATCGAAGGTGCAAGAATCAAATCATAAAACACAAAACCAATAGCCAATCAATGTGAATAAGTCTGCCCATAGGCTTAATTCAAGCAAGCCATTCACTGAGCTATGTGATGGATCTGTCAAATCCAGTACAGCATTACAGACATACCAGCAACACCAAGTGAACATGCAATGACAAAATGACAATACGCCCCACTGCCATGCTCCGACTCCTTCTACCTCAGGAATACAAAACTGGATGACCTTGCTAGTTTCTCTTACTTCAGACTTGGACAGATATCTAACAACTTATTTAATTTTTTTTTTTAAATATTCCATGAAAGATGAATAAGAGCTGTACAAACGTTTTATTGACATCTGATTTAGTGTCTTTTGCGCATCCTTACAATTATATTTTTTCCAAATATGCTCAGTTTAGAGAGTTTGCCAGGCAAGTTCCAGACTGATGAAGAATGAATTTAGACCAATAGGTTCCCTTTTAGAACTTATACTAATTGGAAAACTTATCAGAAATATTTCAAGTCTTGGCAAATTAAACAAAAATTTTTTGGATCCACTTCTGCAAAGACCTTCAAAACTGCACATGCAATTTAATATATGATAGATCACACAATATAAAAATTGAAATCAGAATTTATATCCAGTGATTCTATTGCTTCATAAATAAAACAAAATGTACCTGTTTCTTTGTTGTTTTTGTTTTGTGATCCTAAAAAATGACTGGAGAGATCTGCCAGGCCTATCCCTGTTGTGAAATTGGGTTTAGGAGTACATGATCTGTCTTGACAAATACTTTGGGGTTTGCATTGATTGGTTTAATGGTATTTCCTTGCCACCTGATTCTCCCCTGTATATCTATTCCTCGCTTATTTCCAGCAACATTTCCAACTGTGACAAACAAGGATACCATTGCATTTCTTCAAACAGAGCCCTCTCACACTGATCATTATCAATTGACTTGGTCTATTGATTCTGCAGTCCCAAATCTTTCTGTTAACCTTTATTTTTAATTTACCAAAACATGTCTCCAATCTAAAGATTTCCTCTTTTCATCTCCTGAATTAAGAAGCTTTTCAAATATGGAACACTGCAATTCATACTGGATATGAGTGGTGAAAAAGAAAAATAAAGCTTTCCTTATTTTTAAAGTAGTATTTGCATTATGTGTCACTGCTTCAGTGGTACTCAATTTCTTTGGGCATCATTTTTACACAAACAGTAAGTGCAGTTCATGTGTAATTAAATTAAATAGGGGCTCATATGAACACTAAATAAGTGTATAAGGAGCTGTGGAATCTTCAGTGTTGTGAGAGGAGAGCAGATGATAATTACACTAAGAAGAGCAGATACAAGCAATGGTACTGAAGTATACTTCAGCACCTTCAACATTAATAATTTAACAAAAGTAGCTAAATTAAGTTAATTTTAAAATGAACAAAAAGTTAAATTAAACAAACTGTAGTTGTCAATAATCAGAGGTATCCATGTTTGCACATAGTTTCCCACATGCAAAGAAATGTTTGAGCAGATTATTTGTTTCCTTCTTGATGCTAGTTTTGGGATTCTCTCATAAAGAAATTCAGTTATGAGATTTGTAATTAAGACAAGAAACCATATTCATTTGGGGGAAGCAGATCGAAGATGAGGGTTAATCGCATTTAAAAAGAAAAATAAATTTAAAAAATCCAAAAGATATAAAATTCATTTAAGATATTTAAAATTATACAAGCAAAGACAGGTTATTGCAATTCTAATTATACACAAAGTGTATCTGAAAATTAGACAATATTTTTCAAAAAAATAATTAAGGATTGTAACAACTACATTACTACTGAAGTCATCTCCAGCTTTCTTTACAGCATTTAAGAGCACTATCTTCCTAAACAAATCCTTTACCATTTTGGCAGCATAATTCTTTGTGATGTTGACTCTCTGCCCATAGCAGAACATGTGACCAACTGATATTTTATCTTTCACCCTTTCATCTGCTTTATGAGAAGGTAACATCAATTCATAATGAAAGCATTTAAAATTCAGCTTGATATTGTTCAGTTTCTCTGTGTAATGCATAGGTTTAATTAATAGAAATAAACAGCCTATTAAATGATCCAGGGACACCTGAGAGATAGCTGGCAAAACCTGGCTCACCACAGGAGGTTATTTAGAATTTTGTCCTTTGTGTTTAGTAGGCTTTCAGAAGCAGGAGTTGTTTTGCATTACAGAAAAGCTCACATAAAACCCTAGAGCTGCAACATGCTAACAGACCTTTGTGGAAATGAAATGAAACTACTGAGGAGCATTTCACCTGTGCAGGTTCCCCTAAGTAGAAATAGAACATTGCCAACAAAGTGCACACAGCACAGATCTAGTTGATATCACTGACCCAAAATCAATAAAAAGTAGCTTGCTTACCTGTCTGACACAGCATGCCTCAGCCATACATGCAAATTACTTTATTCACATAACTTTAAAAAAATATATCTTCATTACCCGGAATAAGCACTTGAAAGGCAAATATGCATGCATAGCATTGTAACATTCATACCATGGGACTTGGTTCTAAAAATACAGAATCCATGAACAGCGCTTCAGTCTAAGAAATTGTGCACTAGAATTTCTTAATCTCTTGATTTCTTTAAGAAACATTTGTAGCACTGTCTAATTTATCATTTAAAGAATTTTTTCAATATGTATTTAAGGCTTAAGAAATTATTTCCATGATTCCAAGGGAAAATTTTCTTGTATCAGGTACTGAGAAGTGTGACCTTACTTCTCACTGCCATCATGAAGCAAATTATTTGTGTGTCTCTGCCACCAAATACAGTCTCCCTTTGCAAGGGAACATTCCTCAAGGACTTGAAAAATACTAAAAAGAGAAGAGATTTTAAGGGTGCAGTTTATGAGGAAAATTTAGGATAATCCTCCTTCTCATTACAAAATCATGTCCACACACTGCAAAGACTTAATTTTATGCAATTTGATAAAATCCTGTTCCTACTGAAGTCAACAGCAATTTAGGCATTGACTTCTAAGGAATTCCAACATCATCTTCCAAGAAGGCACACTAATATATGTGACATTACTCTTAGTTACAAAAGTTGTCTTTGAATGTGCAGATTTTAATGATCCTCCATTCCTGATATTGTTTCCATGGAATGTGGTTAACATTTTGAGGATAAAAATACAGAGCAAAAGAAAAATTTTTTCTTTTTTTTTTGGTTTTTTTTCAAGTCTTGAAAAAAATCAAATGCCTGTGAAAAAAGCAAATGGAAAAAAAATGCTATTTTTCACTGGATAGTTCAAGCTTAGACACAGTTCATTCTCAATTTCCACTGACAAAAACAATGTCAATGACAATTGAGGGAACTCAATAGGTTCAAGGTTCTAAATCAACTGAAATAATACTCCTAAGACAAATAATGATCCTTTGTAGCAGACCATCATGAATCTGTACATTTATTTATCTGCATTGTACAAGGGTCACGGACGTTAACTGGATGATCTACAGCTTGGGAATGTGCACATCTCATGCCTGATTCTCAATTAAAGGCCTAAAGCCTCTCAATTTATGGCTATTCATGGATTATAATAAAACAGCCTGCTTTAGAGATCACAATTATCTGCAGAGCAACAAGACAGTTATGAGACTTCAACAAGGCAAATTTATAGAATCAACTTCAACTTCCACTGGTCGAATATTAGTGAGCAGGAAAGGAGCTCTTACCTGTCACTGTAGGCAGCTGCAGTGGCAGTGGCAGGCTGGGCATACCGGTAGGCAGCATAACCACCCTGAAACACAAACTCACGCTCTAACTGCATTGCCATGGCACCTTCCAGCACATTTTGCAACATTTCACAACGATTGAAAGAGTAAAGTAATGCTGCAGTTCGGTTAAATGCATAGGGAATACCGCAGTGAAATGGTAAGGAAAATATTTCGGTGAATCGTGAAGCAAAATGGAGCACCACAAAATTTTTTTAAGTTTTGTCCCAGAGATCAGGAGAAAGCAATGAACTCCATTGATCAGCTTTTTTATAAGACATTACTGGATTCTTCTCCAACTTTTTAAACAGTAATTGCTTGTATGAACAAATTGTATGTATATTCACAAAGCTGTGCTAAACTTAAAAGACAAACTCAGCTAATAATCAATTCTTTTTTTGTACAAAATATGATTTATCATGCCTGGTTAATTAAACCTATGAATTTGTGCACTCAATTAACACTTAATGTTACATAGGTTTCCAATTTAAACATAAAATTATAATGAAGAAGCAAAATTCTCTTCCATGAATTAACATTCAGTTGTATGTAACAGTAATTCCAGCTGTTCAATTAAGCAAACAGGACAAACAAACACACATTGGAAAGGAATTGAGTGCAGCGATGCATTGATTATCAAACTGTGAAAACAGCAGAGCTTCCTGTTCAATGGACCACGGTGTTATATCAACCATTTCCAAATGATCTCAGCATGCCAATTAACAGCCCCAGCCCAGCCCTGCTGATAACACAAACACGATTTACGTCCCAATTAGAATTCTCCCCCCAGCACCCTCTGGGACAGGGGCTGCTGTGGTGCCTGACCCACCCAACCCCTCCCTAACAAAGAGCTGAATAAGACAGTATTAGCTCACTCAGCTTTGAATAAAATTCACTCTTTTGCTGAAGTGTTTGCCTTAATGGATTGGTTCTTTTCTATTTTTTTTTTTTTTGGAAGGCTGCATTCACCCCAGATATTGTGCTGAAGCAGGAAGAATAGGCCACGATGTGCAAACCTTCCCTGTAACAGTAGAACAATTTTACTGCAGTAACTTTTGTGGATTTTCTGGTTTGATTTTGCAAATAAAAATTTGCTCTTTTCAGCAAAGCAATCTGAACTACTCTCACAAGCTATTTCCCCTTCTACCACTTTGCTTGGCAGAACGGCTTTCATCCCTAACCCATGTAAACCTTTGTGGGTTTGAAGATTTCAAGCAGGCTGGGTTTGGAAATCAATCGTTCAGCTGACAATGCCACATCACCCTAAGAATAAACACAAGTTTTACATACACTGACAGCTCATTTGAAACTCCAGGCTTTGAATTATCAGCTTATTTGAAGATTATTCTTTCTGATTTTTTTTTAAGTGCTCACACAGACAACAGGACGTGTCCCTCCCTGCTCCTGGCCAGCAGCAATTATGCCACACAGGCCCTGGGATCAGGCAGGAATGAGCATCTCCTAAACCCCCTCATGCTCTCTTGTGCTCCTCTGTGCACACACAGAGGCAGTGAGACAAAAACACCTTCTCATTTCAGATAATTTCATTTTTATAACCCAGCAGAAGGCTATCACTGGCAAAAATGTACAACAGGCCCAAATGCTGCAGGTATGGACACACAGGCCTTTGGATATCAAATAATGTCACCAGCTACAAACTGAGCCTGAGAGGAGGGAAATTCAAACTGCACACTTGGGCTGGCCTCTGTAAAAGTGAGAGAACTGAGAGATGTTCCAAATTTATCTGTTCTCCCATCCTCTTTTTTGAGAGCTAAATATTGGGATGGCCTACCCAGGGAGGTGGTGGGGTCACCATCCCTGGATGCCTTTAAAAAAGGCCTGGAAGTGGCAATGGTGCCAGGGTTTAGTTGGGGTGTTGGGGCTGGGTTGGACTCGATCTTGAAGGTCTCTTCCAACTCAGTGATTCTGTGGAACATGACACCTCTCCCCACCCCTTTTTTTTCCTCTTTTTTCCCTGAGTGCTGATATGATGAAGATACTGAACTTGATTTCATTATCCAGTCTGGCCTTGTGTAGCATATCTGAAGTCTGACACGGTTCTGTTCACCAGAGTGTCCAACTCTTTGTTTGTCCTGCTGTCCACTCCTAAAACCCCTGATTCCAAAGTGAGAGCCACTCCAAGTGAATCCAGCTCCACACACACCAGCCCCTACCACAGCATGGAACTGAGACCAGGCCACCATGAAGAATTCAGAATAGAAGAAAAATAAACAAGCTGTTCCTACAGCAGCTGCTCTGAAATCTGCTGGGCTCTGTGAGGACTGGTTTCCTTTCCTTAATTTAACTATCAGTAAAAATTGGTCAGTGTGTGATCAGAGAACCTTTCCAGCTCCCTAAACACAAGAGCTACATTCCTTTTATGCTTATATTTTGATTTGCTTTCAAAGAATTTCTGCTGAACAATGAAGCTCGACTCCGAACTTTATTAAGATGTTTTGGATTCAGCAATCAGGCTGACATTTATGGGAGCCCTGGCAAGAATGAGTATAAAGCAATACAAATAAAAAGAGATTGAAGGCATTGAATTTGCCTGCATTCTCTGGAAAACTAAAATAACAGGATGTATTTGGGTATCAGGGAAAACCAAATTCCCTACCATCCCATGTCATGAATTCATAATTTAAAAATAAACTATCATAAATTACACATTAAAATACACTTAAGCAAATTATTTTTATGGGGCTTGTGTTCTGCAGTTTTGGTGTTGTACCAAGTTTTCTCATTGTTTTACTTCAATTACTTCAGGTGATTGTTGATTACTGCAGGAAGAAAACACTTGGAGGTACACTTTCCCCTGGAAATTGGGGTGGGATTCCAGTTCAAACCCCTGAACTCAGCTTCTCTAACAAGATCTATTTCACAATTATTCTCTAATTTTGAACTTGGCTGATACTTTAGGTGGAGAATACACCAGTAATCTTCACTACATCTCTGGAGTAACATTATATAATTATCCTCATGCCTTAGACTATATTGAAAAATAAAATACTCAAAACAAAACTATGCAATAATTACATTTTTAAAATTAACAATTTTCAGTGTCTAAGTATTAAAAATGTTTCAGGAATTATTTTTTTCCTCTTATATTTATATCCAGGCAGAAAGTACCTGACTTTGGATTATTATTTTGAAAATAATAAATTCAGACGCCATAATGAAAAAATGTTTACTGCCTTATCTGTGCCCCCATATTTGCTTCTTGCAGAACAATGATAAAACAGTGTTACAGCAGCTTAAGTAGTTTTAAAAATTAACAATACTATCACTATCTATGACTGTGACTGAACCTGGAAAATAAAATGCAGCTGGTGGACTATTTTTTGCCATTTGCTCACACAGAATCCATTTTCTCACCTATTTATTTGAGTATCACTATGATCTGATATGAGCCTACATCCAGCATGGTGAGGTTTTCCATCAGTGGAAAGTTACCCGATAGCTGTGGTAACTTATTGCCACACACAGGCTCCTGCAACACTGCTCCATAAAGAAACAGAAATTGAATGATTTCAATGAAGAAGGAAGGATGTAAGGAAGGAATTGAGGCAAATTCCCCAGAGCAATTCATTAGAATTTCCCTCTCAATTTTTTCTACATCTCTGGCTCAGGCAAACAGAAAAAGAGCAGTGAGATCTGTCAGAGATCGATTGGTGATTTTTATAGGGAAATCTTAATCAATTTTAGAAGGAAATCACACACATGTTGAATAAGATATGATAAAATGGAAATGAACAGAAAATTAAATACAACTGAATTTTTAAATAAAGTGTGTGCATCTGCAGTAAGGCTCATTTCCACAAAAGCTTATCCAGACAGAATCTAGACATTACAAAACCATATATACATGTGTGCACCTCCTCAAAAAATTGCCAAATCACATTTTTCTCATGCTCTCAGATATAATGAACCACAAAGTGACTCTAAATGATGAACATTTTTCCTATTATCTACATATTTAATATTTCATATGAATTTTGAGAGTTAATTTTCCTCAATTTATACTTCCTATACTTTCTTTCACTCAAGGATCTCTCAGAGTATTTTGTGAACATAAATTAATCAAGGTTCCAAACCTCCTCTAGTATTGAGAATTAGACCTGCCTTATTAACTACAAATAGAAGAATGGTATTAAAAATTATGTGAATTAAACTCAGAGCTGCAGAATATAGAAAGTGTCAGTTCATTTTCCTCCACTCACATGCTATTGAGATTTAAACAGCGCTTGTTGGGGCCACTGAGTATAACTTTGACTGAAAGAATTAAAAATAAATAAACAATCCACCTCCAATTTGTGCTGGCTCAAACTGTGAACCTGACCTGTGTGCAAGGTTTTGGTTATTTCTATATATTTGTGTTCCCCGAGTCAGCTGCTGCCTCAGAAAAAAAACTCTTGGTAAAATATCCAGGCACCACCTGCACTAATCCCGGCCAAATAAATCACCAGCATTGCTCTGGTACCTTTGTGAATGTGCTTTTAACTTCACAAATAAAGATGAGATCAAAAGACATTTCATCCCTACCTAGCCAAACTTTTAAAAAGCCATCATGGAGTGTTCCAGCACACAGAGCAGAGCAAAGAACAACCCACTCCTCCCTGGGGACCCTTTTGCCCTTGGCAAAGTAATTTCTCCTCTTCTTGCTCTGCTTCTGTGAGTCACAGGGAATGGAATGGCACACCCTTCCACTGGCAGACACAAAAAATCCTTGCTTCTCAAAAGCAAACCTTCAGTGCTATCTGCAAATCCTTGTTTTTCACCCTCAGAACAGTGCCCTTCAGGGGACCAGGTGGCTTCCAGGGACTCCACCTGGGGTCAGGGGAATGCTGCTTGGATAATTACCTCTGCTTTTCCATCCCCAACTGCATCCTGGCTTTGAGCTAAAGGTGATGGCAATAACTATTAGGAAACAGTCTCATTCCATACTCCTGACCATAAAAATCCGCTTTATCCTTGCTCAGCAGCTCAAAAAACAATATTAACAAATTAGAACCTATGCATGTATATTTTACCATGGATTCTCTCCAGCTGCAGTACCATCTACAGGTGCAGAACCCTGGGAAGTTTAGAAAACCTTGTTGTGAGCAGTGAGACTGACCAATGGCCATGGTTAAACTATTGCTGGCAGCTTCCAGAGCTGGTGGGGACAGGGTGTGCAAGGCTCTCATTTTCTGAGCCTTCCCACATTTTAGGTGTGGATTGATGACTGACATATTCTGAAAACATTCTTTATGACAATGGTAATAAAAAAAAGGGAACAGATTTAAGATAAAGCAGAGCTATTATTCTAACTGCCTGTTTCTGAGACTGTTACTATTTTTTGCTTCATTTTGTGGAGTGTATTTTCTTATTTTCACAGGTGTCAATCTTCATCTAAGAACTTCTATATTTGCTGGCAGGCAACTTTAATTCTCTTTTAATGACTTTTTCTCTTAGTGAATCAATACTTAATTTTAAAAGGTCTTCCTTACTTCCTAATAATCTCCTTTATTTTTCCTACTCAAAGGCACATTTTAAAGGGAATTCAATAGCTCAGCTATTTCAGAAGGATTATTACATTCCATATAGAATTATATTAAATATAGAATATATTATATTACATCTAGAATCATAGCTGTTGATTTTTCACTTTAGACTGTACTTCCCACCTATTTTTATATTCCTAATCTTTTCTATTCCACGGGTTAGTATTGAGCAGTTCTGGATATTTGCTGTTCTTGGTTCACCCTGCAGTTTTTACCCAACCAATGTTTTCATGTCCACCCTCCCTCCCTTGCCCTAAATCTGTTGTTTCTCTCACCAGAGGCTCTGTTGATCCCAAATTCTGCACAGAATAGCAGAGTCCATCAATTGCTGCTCAGTGTGATCAGAGCAGGATGAAACCCACTCTGATGTACCCATTAATGCATATTTTTTATCTGGCTTTTCACTATTGTGTGCCTCTTGTTTTGCTTTCTGTGGTATTTCTAAGGCTCCTTTCCCTCCAATCTACCATTAAACCCTACATTGTTTAAATGGTTTTTTCTCCTTTTTTCACAGAGCGTTTGTCATTTCACAAAACCTCAGCTTTGCACTTAAAATGAAAGCTATGTCATAAACAATTGGGATTTAATAAATAACTTGGTCTGCTGCAAACTGCTGCACTAAGAACTAATACACTGTGAATTTTAAGGTTTCATTTGATTTATGCCATTTCTTTCTATCTTTCTCTTCCTCCCCTGCAAATGCTTTTTTATGCAAGAAGGCACAAATGTGAAGAAAAGTTATTTATAAAATAAAAAAGATTTGTATATTAGAAAGAAACTAAATTTCCAGAAGAGTGTTTTAATTCCATCATCTGCTATAAAGATAAACATTCTGTTGCATTAACAGAGCTAAGATATGCAATCAGAAATGCAAGGCTGCAGCTGAGTGAAAACCAGTGTGGTTATTCCATTTCCTAAAGCACACAACTACTGCAGACAACAAAACTGTGGCTATACTAGAAATTAGTAATTTATTCAGTATCTTTCTCATTGAAATCACCCTCCATCTGGAAACAAAATATTAAGATCTGTGAGAGGGTGTGAGGACAGTTAAAAATAATATTGTCAGTCACCAATGAGGTGTTCCTGGCTTTCAGCAGCAGTGGGCTCCAAAGCTACAAACTGCTCCAGGAACATTGAGTTCCCACCTATTCTCTCACCCTGAGCCCTCCTGAGCAGGATGTCTTGTGGCCCTGCAGATTTCTGGGCTGGAAAACTGAGCAAAATGGATGTCAAACCCTTGATGGTTTGAAGGAATGTGAAATTTGGAAACCACAACTGAAGAAATTCCACAGTGCAAAGTGTGTCCAATACAGCTCAAAAAATTGGGCAGCAGTGTGTTTGGGTGAGATCAGAGCCACCTATTTGGCTTGAGCAAACCTTTAGCCAGGGGGTGATTCTTGTGTTGTGAACAATATCTTACTGATAACATCACTGACTACATAAGTACATAGGGAGAGGACTTTAAATCTCACTGATTTATTTTAAATATGTTTTTAAACTGCACAAATGAATTTTCAGATAAGGATCAGCCTTGCCACTTCTGTCAGAAAAACAGAACCTACTTCATCCATAAATTCAAATTGTTTTCCTTCTTTATATAAAACTTACTGACAAAAATCTGTTCCCCTGGGAATAGTTCTAGAAGATTGCTGATAATGAAGACAAGGGATGTTTCCTAGCATTGCCTATTTAATTTTTAATATTGATACAAATTGCAACTCATGTCTCATTTTATCTCAACTGAAAAAGTACAAGTAGGTTACAGAAAGTTATCTGGTGAAACAAAGATAATACCTGTAACTTAGAACGAGGCTGTCTTATTAAAAGAATAACAAAATTAAGTATTACTTACTATCAATGAGATATTTTACATCTACAAATCAGGTATAAGAATTTTGGAAGAGTGAAATTTGGCCTCAACCCCCTGAAACCTCTTGCATGCTCAGACATATGGAGACTCTTTGCACACGTTCAAGATAAAGTTGGCAAGAAAAGCAATGTATGAAAACTTGAAAAAATGGCAAAAATAAAACCAAACATATTATTTAAGATGAAACAAGTGAACAATTAGGTGCATAGATAATGATGGATCCAGGACTATGAATCTTTCCTAACAAATTATCCACTTGTATTGTGAGCAGTCTCTGCCCATTTCCTTTAAACTGAAATTAGTGGATTCTAGAAGTGCAATTTTTGGCAGTCTACTCAGATAAAAGAGAATACATTGCCATATCTTAAACTTATATGTCATTAAGCTCCACTATCACCATGGCACCTACACATCCCCAGTGCTGGTTGGATTTGGGAAACCTGTATCTCTCCATGAAGAACTTTCATACTTCAAGTATTAATAATAAGCAGCTTGCCTTGATTTTTTTTTTTTTTTAAGAGCTTTTGGGGATCTGCAAAAGAATGTTCGTGCTTTGCTTTATTTTATCTTTGAACTTCAATTACGAAGGGAGACGCCCCTACACACACACACACACACATTTTTCACATCTTTTTGCATTCATTCAGCATTTGATTGAAGAGTTAATTCAGCTCCACTGAACAATGATAGATGTAATGAACAGAAAGGTCTTCCAATGTGAGAGATATTCTTCTCAATTCTTTCTGACAGGCAAGGGATGGTAAATAGACAAAACAGAGTCAAGCTAGGCAGCAAACTTGTAAAAAGAATGACTCTGGTAATGTACAAGGACAGCATGCACATCAATGAATACTTACATAAATGTCTGCACCATAAAATCCATCCTGGTATACAACACTGCAAGGATGCACACACAAAGAAAAACATCCATATTAGTGCATTTCCACATGCAAATGCCACCAACCCCTGCACAGCTGAGGTTAGTCTCTCACAAGAACACAGGGGAGGGGGTAGGAAGGCACTCTTCACATTGGTTAAGGAGGTTGGTAGTAATTATCAGAAGTGAACCTGTACCAAATACATCATCTTATCAAGTGTGCCAAATGCTTGGTCAAAGGTAAAGCATGGCAGGATTGGAAAAGACTTTTGTTAAAGTTTTGGGGCTTTTTTCCTTCCCCTGTTTTAGCTTTAAGAAGCCACATATTGACAGTATTTTTTCTTTCCTATAAAAATTTTCAATGGGCCAATCCCACATCCAGTTTCAATATCTTTGCAAAAAGCCTAACTCTTGAAGCACTGCTTTCTCATCCTGCAGGTTTGCTGACCCTCTGAAATAAAGGGTTACCTCTCGTTACTTAGATGGGAAACAAACAGCCTCAGTTGAAATAGTGATAGGAGGGGGTGAAATAATTACACAGGTGGTGTTCTACCCACTGGGTCAAATCTCAATATTCAGTCTATCTACACAGAGGTGAGAGAACCCACAGGTACTGCATGGTTGGCTCAATGCACATTACCAATAGTGACAACTGATCTATTGAGGATTTCAGGGTGCTATGCTTCTGGGAAAAAAAATAATTATAACTTTGCCTACTTGAGCATTTTACAGCTTTGGCAAGCGTGACAGTGGTTCTGAGCTCCCCTGTTTTGGTTGGTTGGATACATTACTAATTCTTCTCTCAAAAAAATGTGGTAACATTGCTGTTACCAGTTCACCCAGAGATGGTCTCATTTCAGCTAAGATCAATCATCAGTGTAAACGGGAAAATTCTAAATAAATGACACAGTATGACAGAGACAGCTTAAATGATTACACAAAATAAAACTCCAACTGCACAACAGTGGCCTAACAATTACACCCATTAGGTCATTCCTGTAATTTTAAATCCATTTGGCAATTCTGCAGCCTGAAATGTCTATTTCCCATATCAGAATCAACCCAAGCTGTTTCAAGGGCTAAATCTGTGAGCTAATAAAACAATAGGAATTTTTTGAAACAGTATTTTCAATTTAGGAATACTATTATCTAGGAATAATAGTTATTACCAAGTTGCTAGCCTAAGCCATTTTGCAATTCCAAGAAGAATTTTGATGTCAGAAATATAATTGACCTATTGAAGTCAATGACCAAATCCCACAGGGCTGAGCTGGTATGGGTCTAAGTCTGAATCACTTGAGAAAATAATAAATATGCATACATGCACACAAGGACATGGATAAAACCACACTGATGATAAAAGTTTGCTATGGAATAATAACAGGTGAAAACTCAGCTCCACTTAAATCAGAGTATGTGCCATTTGTTTCAGTAGGGTCAGACTTTTACTCATATATTTTTCTGTTTATTATGTCTACAGAGCAAAATATGCAAAACCTGGTCTAAACTGGCAGCTTTCAGAGAGTTTGTTGCTCACACTGCAGCACACCTTCAATTTGGTTTGGATGCTCTGATTATTTTAAAACACTCCATGTTTTTCTTTACCTGTTTGCACATAAGGATTAAAGCATTCCACACGACTGTGAGGTAGGAGCACACAATCATGGACAGCATGAAGGACTTGGATGAGATGACACACAAAGAATACTGAGTTTACTGAGTTTCCTGTGACCCCACAGCCCCAGCCCTCAGGTGCTCACATCCCTGTGCCACTCCTGGTGGAGATGGGGGACAATCTGGGGGAAGGTGGTTTAGATCCTACCTCTGTTTATAACCATCTAACTGCACTTCAGTAGCAAAAAAATTCATTTTCCAAGTCAAGTCTGTTTTGCCCATGATGGCAATTAGCACAAAATGTCCCTGTCTTTATCTCAATCCAGGAGCTTTTCCATCCTCCTTTTGCTGTCATCTTATCACAGGGTCTCCATACTGTTGTCTCCTTATCACAACAGTTCCATATCTTCTTGGTGTTTCTCTTTGTCATCTCCTCACAGTACTGACTCTTTCTTTTTCCCAAAGCAGCCACTGACTCCAGTTCCCTTCTCACCCAGCCACCCCACTCTTTTATAGCATCTGCTTCTCATTGCTTACAGCTGTGGCCTGGTAAAGTCAGGCCTGCTCCTGATCTTTGATAATTGGCCCAGCTGCAACTCCTTAGGGGTGAGATTCCTTTCTACATTATCTTTATTCTCTTCTATTCTATCCCCCTACATCCTTTCTCCCCTCTGCTGTTGAGAGGAGGAAGGAGAGCACAGCAGGGTGAGGTTCTGGCAGCCAGCTGAGGCCAACCCATCCCTGCACATTCAGACATCCCACTCTTCATTGCTATTAAACATTGCTATTCAGAAAAAATTGCTTCTGAGATCGTATCTGTCAGAAAAGGAAACTTTTTTCTTTCTCTTCTTGGTGATCTGTGTATACACAGCAAAGATGAAAAGGGGCTGATAAATTTTTCATTCCTAAGTGAAACTGGTTGTAATCTTGGACAGGTTCATTCATCCACCCCAGTCTTCCTTCCAGTATGTACAGACAGAAACTTATTTTGGGTTCTAAATGAAACCACTTCATAAACACTATGCTGAAAAATGTACCCATCACTAAAATGAGACATATATGCATAACTCCATCATTAGACATGGCCAATATTAAGATGAAGTGACAGAATCAGGCAAATGAGTATAACAGTCCCAAGCAGGACTTTGACTACAAAAAAAAAAAATCAGCTGATTTTATCTTACTTCCTCTCTATGATCTTGCATTATGACAGTGATATTTAATAAAAAACCCTTCTGCTTCTCCTGAAGTTTGAAGAGAAGTAATTCTTCACACTTTCATAGATTTTTCAGAGAATATTTCCTCTATTTAGTGTCTGTATAATTTTTTGATTCCTGATCGAATCTTACTACTAGAGTCAAAAGTATTTTCTAACAGCTGCTTTCATCAGAAGTACAAAGTGTAAGCCACCTAAAACTAAGTTTTGCTTTTCCTTCCTTTAGTATATAAATTTCCAATGTTTTTTTAAAAATTATTATTATTAATTTTGTTTAATTTGCTCTGCTTTTCACCCCTTTATCTCTCTCTGAGGCTCTAGGAAGAAAACAAAGGGGATGTCTTGAGCATGGGAAGAGACTGAAAACATCACACAGGGACCCATCTTACAACAGCTCCTTTTACACTTCATATTAAAAAAAATTATCCTGGTAAGCAGGTAAGTCTATTGCTCCTTGTAAAATAACACAGGGGTTTTTAAATAGCCACATTAGTGAAATCTGAGTTACTTCATCCAAGGAATGGTGTTAATGTGCTTCCTGAAGGAATTAAAAAAAACACATTTGGGGGATTTGTTCAGTCATATTCTATTATTTTATTGTGCTAAGGAAAACTCAGAGAAGTGAGAGAAATCTTGATTTAATAGGAAAATGTGCATCTAAATATCAACATATGTTGCAATCATTTTCTGAAATTATCTTTTTCTAAATAGGGAGCTCTTTTGTCATCAGATATTATACATCTGACTTTCATGGGTTTAGTCCCTTTATTTAAGGAGCTCCTTTATTTAAGGAGCTCTGCATGTCTTATTATCACTTTTTGTAACTATATTAACACAAACTGTCTAGTAGTTTAGATTCCACCTTTACAATATCCTGGGAGAACTACATCTGTCTTCATTATCATTTTTCTGTCCTCATCTTTCAAAAGGATTGTGTTGAATAATCTATCAATGACATGAAAAGACAGCCCTTGATTGCACAAAGCTTTGCTGAGAAACTTCCCAGCAGCTGAGGATCCATGGTCCTCCCCCCACACATCCTGCCCAGGGCAGCACACCCAGCCTGGGGTGGATTCAAGGGAAAAAATGGGCAGCACATCCCTGATTTTCTTCCTGGGCACAGCAATGCTCACAGCTCACCATTGCCTCTCCAGCTATACAAAATTCTCTGTTTGTTGGTTGCTGGGAGGGTCATCCTCACTGTCCTGCACTGTCCAGCTCCTGGTGTGGAATTCACCTTTTACGTGAACCCTTTATCTGGGGCCTTCATGAGATAAATGAGAGAAGAGATGCAGCTACAGCCTTATTAAACCAAAGTCCTTTGGTATAATAAACCAGCCTCACTTAAACCAAAGACAGAACTAAAGCAACACTTTTCCACACTCTAATAACAGAGTTTTAAGTGCTCTAAACATCAAACTGAAACTCTTGTAAGAGGCAGCTTCGACTCTTTACAATGTTCTCTAATTCCAGTTACTTGCCTTTCCAGTTTCTGCCATGGACAAGTTACATTTTCTGCTCTGCGATATTGACTGAGGGAATTGCTGCAGAGAACAAAGCTGCAGACATGAATCGATATATGCTGGCAAAACCCATTTTTTGTTCCAACAATTGCACATATGCAGAGCCCAAAGTAAGAGGAAGTTTACATGAGCCCAAGGAAATAGAGTGGGAAAACCCCGTAGCAACCTGAGTAGATGTAGTAACTCATACTAATGTTCTTAAATTTAGAATGCAGAATAAGAAAATGAAGCTGTATTTTCATTTTGAATCAGTGAGCAAGTAGCACTTGAGAATGTTTATTTTAACAAGAGGAACAGTTTCTGAATAGCCTCTGTTATTTCTCCTCCACACTCCCCACAAATTCGCAATTCTATTTAGGGCTGGGTTTGTTTTTTTGGGGTTTTTTTAAACTGTTCTTTTCAAAGAGAAAAGCATATTGCTCTCCTCTGCTTTCCCAGGAAAGGCAGCAGAGGAGGAGATACAGACTGCAAGCTAATTCTCTGTTAGCTTCATCAGAGCTGAAAGGAGCAGCGAGGGAATGTGAAGACAAAGTCACCTCACACTAAACTTGTGAGAATTTAAAGCAAAGGATGATGAAACAGAAAGGCTCCTCAGCAGTTTCACTACTCCTGCTGTCTACTACTGCTCTACTACCAGATATACCTTGACTCTGGGCTTTCTTGACAACAAATTAAAGATCACATTTCCCTCTCCTGCTGCACCATTTTGAGGTTAAGCTCCCTATGCAGTGCAGATTTCCAAACTCTAAATTTTAGTTTCAGTATTCTCACACAAACCAAGCTTTACTCCCCATTTCAGTGTCAGGGGGGTTTATGATACTTACATTAATTATATGTACTTGTAAGTAAACTGCACATTCTCATATTTCAAGGCATTGGAGATGATGCTGCAGATGCTAAAAGTGAAGTACTTTCTGTGAGCTAATAAACAAAGTGCTATCTCAAGGAATTATGAAATGTCTCACTCAAAAGTGAAGGATCCATTAATTACTGGGGTAGTTCTATGTATCTCGTGAACAGTAATTCAATTTTTAAATTACACATTTTAAAGCACACGTGCTATTCTTTGATTTATAAGAAAATAATGGCCTTAAATATGGTTATACGCAGCAATTTCCCTGGGACCCAGCAAAGCCTGTCTGCTGCTCCCCAGTAAGTGGGAGGCACAGCAGAATACACCTTTCAACAGGAACCACCATAACTCATCCTGCCTTATGAGTACAAGACCTAGAGGTAGATCAAGGACTAAGGTTAATGAAATAAAAGAAAATTGAAGGAGGTAATTGCAATGTTCAGCTTTATATTTTGCAACTACATGTAGGTTCTTTCTTGAAATATTTTCTAATTAAACATTGATGGATTTTAATGTAAATTTATTATTAAAATTATAGCTTTCATTATAGAAAATAAGTATTTTCAGTCATTAAATAAAAAAAATTACACAAGTATAAAACTGTTTACTTGGCTGTAAGTCTGGGTGCCTTCCTTGAGTGAAAAATAATAAATTGCTACTAAATTGATTGCATAACAGCATTCAAAACTTACTCTATTTTTCTTATCAACAAATGATATTCCAAGTTATTTGCTTCCTTTCCTAAGCTGATTGATTCTCTGTGATGTCTTTACTGTCTTAATAATTTTCCTTGTCTTCTACTCATGTTGTGACCAAAACCCACATTTCCATAACTTATTTTCATTGACCCAAGACTTTTTTCTGATGGAAATTCCTTATTGCTTCTTTGATGGGTCATGGGATAGAATAGGTGAGCAGAGAACAAAGAATCACTCAGCAATTCCATGTTACATTCTTGTACCAGTGAAGATACCAACCTGAGATCTAATATGCCAGGCCAAAGAAATGATGGGAAAACAAAGCTATATTCCCCAGCTGTGGTCCAGGGCAACAGAGATATGCATAATTTCTGTATTGACCCATGAATTACAAATTGGGCAATTCAGAAATCAGGGCCTTATTGGAAAGCACAGGGGGATGGAGAAACTTAAATATCTGAACTAAGACCTACATGATTTAAGACAGGGCTTAGTAATTGAAACCTTTTGCAGTGTCAAATTATGTTTGGTGGCAAGGTGATCCCTAGATTAGCAAGGGTTCCTGACAGACACCTGGAAGCCATCAGAGCAAGATGATGGGGCCTGTGACAAGGCAGGGCTCCCTCTGCAGAACCTTTGCAATGACCTGCAACACAGTTCTCTGTGCCCACACATCTAACTTACTGCTAAAGGTGCTGGCAACCAGCAGTACAATTACATGGGGATATACATGTGCTACTCTTGGAAATGGAATTCATGCTGCTGAGTCACTGAACTAATTATAATAATGTGTATACCACCACACACATATACACATAGAGCACCCACATGTGGTCTCTTAAATTAAGGCAAATTTAAGTCACTTACTCAGCAGAAAGTATTTACTCATTTTGCAAATACTAACCAAAAAGTACTGTCCAATTCAAAAACTATCAGACACAGCTAGTAATTTTTTTTTATCTACCTTTATGACTTTGTATTTAACTAAGGTGTGATGTGTGATATCATCATGAAACTGAGTGGCCCACCTCGTTACCTCACTACATATTGCACTCTATGTTCAAATTTAAGAACTTGCTTTTAAACAAGGTACAGATGGAGAGTCCACTTTTTTTAGGTGCAGTATCCATTTGGTAGCTGAGGAATTATAAATGAAATCTGAATGCAGGGCATTCTAACTTGTTTCCATCTTTGCCATGTGCAAATGCCTGCACTAACTGAGAGTATGGCAGCAGAAGGATAACTCTGGAGGGACACCATCCTTGCCCAAAGGTGATACAGGCAAACTTCAGAAAAGTGTCTTCCTCCAGTAGTGACAATACTATTTTTCTTAATAAGATACACAAAACAAATAAACCAACAGAATACAGTTGTACAAAATAATCTGATTCTGTGGCATGATTTCTAATCTTTAGAATGGTTCATTTCTTTGAGATAATAACTGCCCAATGTGAGAGCATGGTCAAACTGCCTGTATAAATAAATCCCTGAAAACTCAGGCCAAAGGCTGACTGATGAGATTAGCAAATTTGTCTGGAAAAAATGCTCCTTTTGGCTTAATGGAGAATCTGAGGTTTACTGAGAAACTGTGGGAACTGGTGCAGGGCACCCATCACCTACTGGAATGGAGCAAGGGGACAGGGATTGCGCTGGCAGCTTCTGCACAAGGGGACATCCCCAGTGGGAGCCAAGGAGCTGCTGAACAGGATTTCAGTGAGGGCAGGGAGAGAGAGAGACAGAGATTGAGATCACCTCCTGTCACTGCCTGTGCCAACCCTTCCTGACCCATCCCAGGAAGATCCAACAGTTCTACAAAGAGGTAATGGCAAATCCAGTTTTTATGACAAAATACTACTCCGGCCTACAATCCGCTAAATTTTCTGATTTTACACATTTCCTAATTTCTTAACAGCTGAAAGTCTTTTGCTAATGTTATTAGGGTTTTTGTATTTCATGCAGCATACAAAGCCTTTCTGTGTCAGCCTTTACAGAGCGACAGGAAAAACGGTTTATTCTTTCTTTCCCCCAAAAATATACATAAAACGCAAACTATCTTCTGAAATAAAAAAGATTATAGAATTCCTAGAAATTAATACTATGAATTCCTCTTCTTGGTTCCTTAGTTTACTATTTGCTTTTAGTAAATTCAGGTCACTGACAGCAAAACCTTAAGGCATTATTTATGCAAAAGTACACAAAACCCATGGCCCTGAGAGGAGCACCCCAGATTTCTATCATGACAAAGATGGCAACTAGAAAAACTAAGCAAACTGCGATAAAAAAGTATATATTTAAAAAAATAAAATCCAGCACTAAGCCTTCAGGTGCAGAGACAACTTCCAGCAGGCGATTTGAAGGAAAAAAGAAGTTACCTCGATCCAACCTCCTTAATAACCAGATGTTTGCAATCATCAAAAATATACCTTTAGCCGAAACAATCTCCCCGTTCCGGAGCATTCCGTTTGCGGGAGCATTTACATAACAATATGTGACATCTGAAACGCTTAAGGCCACCAAGCATGGCAGTACAAATTACAGTCATTTTTCAAGCCTTGCTGTGCGAGGCGCCGGTGCCGGGCAGGCACGACCCGCATGCAGCAGGGCTGGGAACGGTGCCCAGGCTCCCGGGATCCATGCTGAGCCAGAGGTGAGTGAGGGAATTTCAGAGTGTCAGAGCTCCTTACCCGCCGTAGGCTGGGATGGGAGGAGGGGGAGCTGCTGCTCGGAACGTGTTGTACACCGTGCGACCCCGGCCTCGTAGGTGGGCACCTCTGTACGCGGCGGCTGCGGTCGCAGCAGGGTAGGGAAATCCTGGCACTGCACAGGGAAACAAAAACAACAACAGGGATTAGTGAGAAGAGCAATTCTGGAGCAATTCTAGAGTTGTGATGGTGTAAAGGTTCGCCTGTAGCTGGACAAGGGAGTCGCCAAAGGGTTTTAGATTGTCTTTTCACACAAATCTCTGTGTGCAAAGAGCAGGCGGCAAACTGGGAATTTGGATGGCAGTGCCATTTATGGCTCTGAGTTTCCCAGAGGGCACTAATGAAAAGAGTGTGGACTGGTTCAGCCAACACTGCTACCAGGAGACTCCCAAGGTCCAAGTTCAGGCTCAAATTTATAATGTCAGAGATATTTGCATCACATTATTGGATCTGTCTTCCAAAGTCAGCCCTGTTTTGAGTAGGGGTGAGACATTAGAGACTCAGGTGACCTCAAGTCATCTAAATTATCCAGTGATTTTGCCAATTGAACAGAGCTTTGCTGTTGTTCAAGAGCTGGATTATTGACCAGCTCTTAACTGTGGAATAAATCAAAGAGTTTTTCATCTCTTTTCTCATTTTTTTGGGGGGCTGCACCATGTACATAACAGCATCTTTCAGTCCTTCAAAGGAAAGAATTGTATATCTTAGGAACACCTCTGAATCCACATAATATCCAGACCAAATAGAAATAATTTAACCATATAACAAAGAAATTAACTCAGACATTTTTATATTTTCATTGAATCTGTGAACATTAATTACCATTCCATCTGAGACTTAAAATATTTTAATCAGAAATTGAACAGTAATACAGTATTAGAGGCTTTCCTTTTGTAAAACTTCCCTCTTGATAAATTTCTAATTGAAAAAATAATAATACAACTCCAAAACAAAAACCAAAACTTCACACTTTGCTTTCTCTGGCAGTTTTTTAAGCAGTGCTTCATTATTTCATTTCTCCTTTGTACATATATTGTGTGTCAATGTTAGAACAGGCATTTCTTGAATGAATTCATCAGTGAGACAAGTTAAAATCAAATCCAGCTCTGTTGGCATCAGGAGCAAATGAAAATACTGCTGCACAAAAATTTTCAAATCTGAAATATGAATTGATTTCAATCCTCATGTAGCATCAAATTTTTAAAAGAAGCCTTGAATTTGAAATAAGAAAATGAAAAATGCACAATTTTTAGGCTTTGCTGGCTGAACATGTGAAGGTAAATACTGTAATTATGGTGATTTCTCTGTTACTGCCTTACTGCTGTGGCTTTGGGACTTGGCTAGGTCCTTCTCTGTGACAAAAAAGTTACACAGTAATTCTGCAAAGATTTACATGCCTGTGATACAACATAAATCAACATTATGGCAATACAAATAAATTAGATATATCTTAGAAAGTGCAAATACCATATTTTATAAGGAATATAAAAGGAATTTATAAATCATACAGATGAATTTGAAGAACTTGATATTCTGTTGATAACTTTGCAAGCAACTGCATTTAAGAAGGCTTAAAGGAATTGTACTGGAAAACATTTCTTTTAAGGAAGAACAACATATACATCATCTATGTGAAATTTGGATGCTCTAAGTATTTTTGCATATTCAACAAGGTTGAGTATTGACCAATCTAAATATGGTAGTGACAGAGTTATGATCTGCTGCTGGAACCATGTAAGTTCTGTCCTTTTTCTTTCCAAATATACAGCCTTGTGTAAAAACTAATACAATTAAGGAAAATGCAAAATACAGTTCTACATTATGTTCAAAGAACTACAGACTACACTGCCTACTATTCTCTTTCCAGTCTAACAAGTTTTCTTTTCTTTCTTCATCCAGCTTTTGCTCCTTTCCAGTTACAGGTGTTGGATGGAGAACTGATCTAATCCAGGGCAGTTATCTTTGTGTAAGAGGATGTTCAGCTGCAGTCTGCCTGCCTTAGGAAAATCACTCCTTTCCAACTAATAGGCATTGCTAGAAGTAAGTTTCTCCAATAAATTTATTGCTAATTTGTGTCTTAGAAAGGAAAATGCAACTAACTAAATAAAAAGGAACAAACCCAACACACCAGTGCCCAGAAGAGTTTGCTTAAGTAAATAGGTGGAAATAGATTTGAGAGAAAGTCCAGGAAAAATTGATAACTGAAATGATGGACATGTTAAATGATAAAGTGTGGCCTTTAGGGACACTCCTAAATTGTCAAAATCAAGAGAAATTTCACTCACCTAAATGGCAATTACAAAAAAACAAGAAAAAAAATCAGCCAGACAACCTTAACATTTCTTCACTTGCATCTGTAATTTTCTTAATATTGATAGAAAACACACTTTCACAAGGAGAACAGAAGTGATAGAGAAAATCCAGCTAACTCAAAACCAGCCTAAGCTCCAGCAATGTAAGATATGTAACACCACTGTGGGCTTGCAAGACATGGGCTGGAAGTCCTGCCCAGAGTTCTGTTCCAGTAATTAATTCTTTGTAATCAACATCTATGTTAGGCAATATTTACAGCGTTTGTTCTTTTAGGGTCTTGAGCAATAATTAAAACCAACTGAAATTGTGGGGAGACACCGAGGAAATGCCTCTGTGAAAGAATGAATCCCCAATGTGGTTTGTGAGCATTTTTTCCTTTGAACTGTGCCATTCAGCCCAGCTTTCACACAGACATATCCAGATACATATTTTGCAACAATTGAGCATTTATCCTAAATTCTCTTTATTTTTCATGGCGGTCACACCTTGGAAAGATTTACAAGGAGGGTCACTGATCTCAAATCTTTGACAGCAAATACCTTCCACAAATAAATGCCACGGGAAACGCAGAGGTGCCCCACCAACAAATGAGTCAAAAATAACTTTTTAAAAAATATTATTATTATTATTATATTTTAATGAGAAAGAAGGCTTTCTCTTAACAGAAAAAGGAAGAAAACAGAGATAGCAGGGAAAGTAATTTAGTCCATACGAGTTTACCAAATCCAAAACCTGCAAGGAAGGCTCAGCAGTCATAGGAGATGCTAAGAAAAGAGAGTGATGGTTTCTTTATAATTTTCAAAGTATCTGCAATTGAAAGGATGAGTTTGAATGAGAAGCCTGAAGTAATGTAATTGTTTCGCTATGCTTGCCTTACGTTGCTCTCTTAATAAAGTCCCAGAGCATGAAATGTCTAAAGTAAAGCAGAGCACTAAAAACCTACAGAAGCAATTAGTGGAAGGCAGAGCAGTGAGGTGCAGCTCTGTCAGGAAGAGGATCAGACATGATGGAAACTAAACCTGGGACTAAGAGTGGGACTGCACTTACAATCAAGTGAGGTCTAACAGTTGAGTTTATTAATAACAGAATGATATCAATCCCAAAAATTGATTTGGGTCCATCTAAAAATCAGAGTATCTGAAAACACACTTTCTATTGTCAGATAGTAATACCAGACATTGAGATTGGAGGTAAAGGAATCAACAGGTTTTGTTGCCCTGGATTTGTGTTCAGGAAAAAAAACCCATAATGTTCCTTTGGACCAGCTGAGAAATTAGATGGGTAGGAATATGTAATAACCACAGAATTTATTTTGCTACCAACTTTTTAATATCCTCACCCCAAAATAACCAGCAGAAGTGGCAGCATTAGAACACAACTGAAGAATGGACTTCATAAAAAGAACTTTATGAAAAGCATTGTCCCATCAGGAAGCATTAAATGATATTAAACAGTCCCAAAAGTAATGAAGATAGTAGCCAGGAGGGGTAGAGGTTTTAATGACTTACAGTTTGTAGGTCAACCTTCCTTAGTGCCTCAGTGCCAAGCTGCTGAAACCCAGTCAGTGAAAATGCTATTTATAAGGGGCTTGAAAATGTGTTTGACTCTCAGCAGGGAAGCATCTGAGCCCACTTCTAAGCAAAAGTAGCTTAAATTCATCAAAGTAATTTGATGACTGGAATTCTTCTGATCTGTGACTGAGAAAAGGCAGATTTCTCCAAATGCATGTTCATGATAGGAGGTGATAACGCGAGGTTATAAAAAGAAAGGCTTTTCTAAGGACAATACATCATCAAACATCAAGCCATAGAAAACAATTTACATTTTCATCTAATGGCCCCATCCATTCTATAGATATTCATTCTGCCATTCAAATATCAATGAGGCTACAACCACAAAACTCAGTTCCTGCAGTCACTCAGCAATTTCAATTTTTCAAGTTAAAAAAATTAGAGTATAAATAATATGCTGTGGAAATCCTTGGCTTTCCTTAATATAATTATCCAATATCATACAAAACATCTACTACACCCTAAATGAAGTTGTTTTAAGAACATTATGCTGGTAAGATTTCTTCTTTAAACTTGATTGCTCTATTTTTATACTTAGGGGGATACAATTTTAAAATGTATTATTACAATTAATATTGTCTACAAATTCTTACACTTTGTAAATATGGAATCACTGTCACTTCAGTGAACTTCATTTCAGATCTCAAACATGAAATATGGCCAGCAAACTGTCACATTTAAGCAAATAAAAAGGCCTTTGGATTCATAGTAGTGTATCAGCAAAATTTAGATAACTAATGATTTTATAGAAAAAGCAAATATGAGCATAAGGAAGAAAAACTTAATCTTTGAGTTCACAGATGAAATTTAATCAAATCTTAATTTTTCCCTGAAGATATAATATAAGCATTTGTTTTACTAATCTTTTATTAAATGAACACGACAGGGAGGTGCACTTTGTAGGCACAATATCTCAACAAGGCCTGGGAAAACAAAGACTGAAGGAACAATGAAAAGCTTGAGTTCCCAAGAAGAGGAATATAACCTGGCAAAAAAATACTTAAGGGTTATACACTGCGTATTAAAGTTTTAAAGCTTTGGGATAGATGAAAGAGCAGCAGATGCAAAAGACAACAGGGGGCAGATTTTGTATCAAAGCCATAAAAATATACAGCCACTTTAATGGGCAATTATTCTTCACATTTGTGCTGCGGTTTGAATTTGTATGAGGGTGCCATATGCCCCAAGAAAGGTGTGCCATCAAAATGGATGAGCAGATCTAGCTCTCATC